AATAGAATAGAAAACAGAATAGAATAGAAAACAGAATAGAATAGAAAGCAGAATAGAATAGAACAGAAAATATAATGGAATGGAATGGAATAGAATATAGAAAATAGAATAGAATAGAAAATAGAATAGAAAGCAGAATAGAATAGAAAATATACTGGAATGGAATGGAATAGAATATAGAAAACAGAACAGAAAACAGAATAGAATAGAAAAGAGAATAGAATAGAAAATATAATGGAATTGAATGAACAGAATATAGAAAACAGAATAGAATAGAAAGCAGAATAGAATAACAGAGTTGGAAGGGATCTTGAAGGTCTTCTAGTCCAACCCTGCTCAGGCAGGAAACCCTACCCCACTTTGCATGCAGGCTCTGTCCGTTACGTTGAGAAAAACGGATACCTGAAAACTATCTATGGGCCTCACCACACCTTCCATGCCCACACCCTCATTGTGGGTCCCGGCTTCCGCCCATAATATTTTAGCCTAAAATCACACACCAGACACAGCTTTAGATAAATAAAACATGAATTTTATTGAAAACGATCGGAAGAGCAATTCGGCACAGAGGCACTGAACCCCTGATTAAAAACAGGGTGCGGGAAAGATGATGTCTCCCAAGATGGCGTCCACTTCCAGGCTTCACTCGCCTACACAGAGGTACCAAGTCAGTGAACCCAATGTCGATTAATTCCATTGGAGGAAAGCTTAGGATTTGGAGGGTTAGTCAGTCAGGCCCAGGATTGTAGAGGAGCATCCATTTTCGGCCGGTTATCAGCGATTAAGGGACCAGCCCCCTTTTTTTGAGATGGTCCTGCTAGTTAGTACACGATACCCAAGTCGTCTGGATACGGGACGATGGCTTCCACCCTGTTGAGATTGTGGAGAACCGCATGCAGGTCGGCCAGGCAGTCGTGGAAAAACTCCATCCCGACATCCATGATCTCCTTGGCTTCGACCAACGTGGGAAAGAAATTCAGGGGGCCCAGTTTCTCGTGGGTTTCGGGACGAGAAGCCCACCGCGTCAGGGATGGATGATGGAAGGTGAGGAAGTCATGAAGGACCTTGAAGCAAACCAGAGTCTTCCACAGCTCCAGCTCCTCCAGGACCTGCTGAAAGAGGGCCAGGTATTCCACGCAGGTTGGCCCCTCCCAGTCGTCTTCCATCTCCTCCAGGAAGTCGCGGAGACCCGAGAAGCTGAGGTAGGTCTTCCACGGAGAAAGCATGACCAGCAGCCTGGAGACAGGAGACAGGATCTCCAAAACGCCTTCTTCAGACAGCTTCTTCTGCTCCTCGGAGGGCGGGTGGAGGAGGCCAGCGGTCTGCAAGCCCTTCAGAAGGTTGGAGAATTTGTTGAGGAGGAGGAAGAAGTCCGTGTCCTCCAAGATCTCCACCATGGTGGGGATGCTGCCCACGATGCTCCTGGCGAAGGAATGGTCCCATTTCTCCTGGTCATTCGGGGCAAAGGACACGCTGAGGAGCTCAGTGGAAACTCCCACCATGTCCAGAGCCTCCGGCAGCCGAGTCAGGCTCTTTAAATAGTCCTCCTGCCACATGATCCAGTTGACCTGGCCCCAACCCTAGGAGATCTCAGGAGCCTCTTCCTACAAGACAAGAGAGATGGACATCCCAGAGTTAACAGAGCCAGAAGGGATCTTGGAGGTCATCTACTCCAACCCCCACTGCCCTATTCCATGTTCTGACCAAGGGCTTCCTGAGACCATAATGAAGCGCACACGCTTGGTCCAAACAACTCGTGTTTTATTTCAATGTCTTGGAATGATGTTCATTCCCAGCCCGTAATGAGTCCCAAACAGTCCCTCGAGATAAGCACTCACCTTTCTCTCCTTTGAATGGCTGCCAACAACTAAAGTGCCCAATTAAGTGTAAAAAACCAACCGAAGTACACACAGAGCTTCAAGGATTAATCTAGAGTGAACAACGTTGCTTCCTGCAAAGACTCCTCTCCCTTTGCTCCTCCTTTGCGCCCTGTGGGAGGAGCCAATCACCTCCCAGCCTGGAAGGAAGGAAGGTTGGGAAAGGGAGGAGGAGGAGGAGGAGGGAAGGAAGGAGAGAGGGAAAGTGGGAGGGATGGGAAGGATGACTCTGGAGTCCTCGGCGGTGTTGGCTACACCCTGTTTGCACTGAAGATACTCCCCAATTGGGTTGAGAAACATCTGCAAGAAAACCACCCAACTCAGAGAGCACCAGGGACCCCCCTCATCCAGTTCAATCCTGAACTACAAATATCCTCGTCTCTCAGGCAGAAAATATATATATATATATATTTCTCACGACAGAGGGAGGAAAAAATGGACTGGGGGAAAAAGTAAACTTGGTTGAGCCGGTTATGCTAATTGCTTCCAACAGAGAGGAGCATCTTGGTTAACCCAGCTTCCTTTGAGAAATCCCTAGTGGGGTTGTTTAAACTCAACATTCAAGGTTTATTTAAGCTAAAATAGCAAAAAAGAAAGAAAGAAAGAAAAGAAAAAAAGAAGAAAAATGTAGTCCCCCTCCCCCAAAAGCATGAATAATTGTTCTAAACATGGCTTGTAGTCACTAAATGTCTGGCAAAACAGCAATTATATTATTTCACCGTCCTCAAACAAGCAAGATAACATTTTTTTTCCTTGTTTATCCTACAGCCTTTTCTTTCCCCCTTAGTTTTCCACGTTATATATTAAATTTTAACACAATCTTGAAACCAGAAAAGGAAAAGAAATTCATGGAAACCCAATCTATGAAGGGCTCCGGGTTGAGGGACAAATGGCAAGGAAGGAACCCCCCCCCCCCAGAAACACAAAACCCCTTCAAAAAAGAGAAAACGGTAGCCCCTTTCTGCCTTAACACAACCCGTTACAGATTAAACAGAGTTGGCAGGGATCTCAGAGGTCATCCAGTCCAACCCCACCACCCACCCAAGCAGGAGACCCCCTTACACCAGAGGTCTCCAAACTTGAAGACTTGTGAACTTCCAACTCTCAGCATAGCTTGGCTGAGGAATTCTGGGAGTTGAAGCCTCCCCAAGTCTTCAAGTTGCCAAGTTTGGGTACCAAATGCCCCCCACTATTTTCTGACAAACGGCGGTCCCATCTCTTCTTCAAAGTCTCAAGTGATTAAAGGGCATTAAAATTGTGCAAAAGGCTTAGCCCGGCTGCAACTTTCAGGTCATTTTAATATATTTTATTCCAAAGGCAACAAACCAACATTTAACCAAAACAGGTAGAAAAAACACCTAGGCGATGGTCTGTCTGTCTGTCTGTCTGTCTTCCTTCCTTCCTTCCTTCCTTCCTTCCTTCCTTCCTTCCTTCCCTTCTTTTTCATTTAATTACAAAGTGGCTTTCACTGCAGAGCCAAACCCAGCCTTTTTTGGGGGGGGGGAGGAATCAAAGGACCCCTGAACCAGATCAACCCACCTGCCTGCACTCACCTCTGGAGGGGACACCCCAAACTCCAAGGGAAAAGGAAAGAAAACCGCCCCCCCTTGGCCCTTTTAAAGGACCTTCTACTAATTGGGAGAAACCAAACCTTTGGGGGGGGGGGGGGCTTTGCAAAGCAAAGAACTCCAGGCCGGGGACCTGATCCTGCAAGGATTTTTGCAGGAGATCTCAGCTGGTTCCAGCCTCACCTGGTGCATCTCCACCAAGAGGACTGACCATTGGGAGGTTGGGTTTCGGTTGCTGGTTCTTTTTGGGGTGACTCCCCCAAAGCAGAAAAGGGGTGCTTGGAACAGTGTTATCACAACCCTGGAAACTTAAAAGAGGGGTGGACTTCAACTCCCAGAAGTCCCTAGCGGGCTGTGTTAGAGAGCAAAGCTCCCCACTTCCTTCTAGCACTGAGGATGTTACCTAGTTTGGTTATGAAATGTCTGCAAGAAAACAGCCAAGCTCAGAGAGCACCAAGGACGCCAGTTTTTCTCCTCCTCCTCCTCCTCCTCCTCCCCCTCCCCCTCCCCCCCCAAACCCTACTCCCTTCTAGTACTGAGGATGTTACTTAGTTGGGTCATGAGATGTTTGTAAGAAAAACACCAAACTCAGAGAGCATCAAGAACCCCACATTTCTTCTTCCTCTTCCTCCTCCTCCCTCCTTGCAAACTCCATTCCCTTCTAGCACTGATGATGTTCCCTAGTTGGGTCATGAAATGTCTACAACAAAGCTACCAAGCTCAGAGAGCACCATGGACCCCCACAGTCCTCCTCTTCCTCCACACCCCACTAGCACTGATGATATAACCTAGTCTGATCACGAAACACCTGCAAGAAAACAACCCACTTCAGGGAGCACGGAGGGCCTCTCATTTCTCCTTCTCATCCTCCACAAACCCATCGTTAGGTGGGGAATTCTGGGTTTCGAAGTCCAAACTGCCAAAGTTGAGATAAGCCGGTTTTACAATTCAACCGTTTGTGACTCAGATCCATTTTGTAAAGGGGAATGTTTGGGGGGGCTGTAGGTACCCTTAATGTTTGGGGAGGGGTGGTTTGGTGGCATGAAGGGGGCACATTCTCATTTCACTGATTTATGTGGATTTTTTTTTATAGCCCCAGGGCCGAAGACTTTGAGTGAGTTCTACTACTGTAAAGCAGAGGTCTCCAAACTTGGCCACTTTTAAGACTTGTGGACTTCAACTCCCAGAATCCCCCAG